AAAAAATTAATTTTTTAAATATTAATTCTAAAATTTAAATTTAACTTTAATTTATAAAATAATTTTTATTTATCAATTAATTTAACCCTTAAAATTACCACTGCGCTGTAATTATAAACTTATTACGACATTGTAAGTTTGTACTATAGCATTGCCGGTTAAACCGACTGGTTTATAGTCTCGTCTTGGTCAGCTCTGTCTGGTCCGGATCGGCCCGTCAAATAAATTAAGTACTCCGTAGTTGCAATTAGGGAACCGACTCCCTCATCTAAGTATCTAGCCTCTTGGCTTTAGGAAGAAGAAAACACTGTAGAAAATCAGTCTCTTCCCTAAGCTTAAGCTCTCTCACCGCTCTTTACGCTTCTCTTCGATAATGGGACAGGGCACACCCGGCGGCCTAAATCGGCAGGGCGGCCTTCCGGGAGACCGCAAGAACGACCCCGACAAGAAGGACAAAAAGTTCGAGCCCGCAGCCCCGCCTTCTCGCGTCGGCCGGAAGCAGCGGAAGCAGAAGGGTCCAGAAGCCGCCGCTCGGCTGCCGACTGTAACTCCACTCACCAAGTGCAAATTGAGGCTTCTTAAATTGGAGCGCATCAAGGATTACCTTCTGATGGAAGAAGAATTCGTCGCCAATCAGGAGAGGTTGAAACCGCAGGAGGAGAAGAACGAGGAGGATAGATCCAAGGTTGACGATTTGCGTGGTTCTCCGATGAGTGTGGGGAATCTGGAGGAGCTGATTGATGAGAATCATGCCATCGTTTCGTCTTCGGTTGGACCTGAGTACTATGTGGGCATTCTGTCCTTTGTGGATAAGGACCAGCTAGAGCCTGGCTGTGCTATCCTCATGCACAATAAGGTTTGCTTGGTTATGAGCTTTTGATTGATATTGTTTTTGTTAGCAAGTATGGATATGTGTTATGTATGTAATGCTTGGGGATTAGGGTTTCGATTCTTTCACTTTTGATAGCTTTGCTGGAAGTAAATTTCTGGACTGAAATAGCAGCTTGTGATAGGTTCTGAGGAAAGTATTGGGGAATTTTTAGCTAAATTATTGATGCTAATGTTTTTACACTGCATTGAAAAGTATAGTGGTCAGCATTATACACTACATTTTTTTTTTAGAAAATAGAATTAAAATGCCTGTGTTGAGAAACCATGTATAGTTACTAACAAGATATGCTTCTAAAGTTTGAGAATGCCCCTTTAAAAATGCTGATGGGATTTGGAGTAATCAGTTAAAACTTAAAAGCAATGGAAAATTTTGTGGGAGTAACATTCATCATTACTTTTAGTTTTGGAGATTAAAACTACACTGTAAAAATTATTTAATGAATTCCTGAAGTGTCACTCACTCATCTAGAATGCAGCTTGTGCACTTACATATATCATGTATGCTTCAAATGGGACAAATTAAAAAACTTGACTCGTTGTTTAGGAATGAATATAAAAGTAGTTTCACTACCATGGGAAATGTTGTCATATCTGTGAGCATCATCTAGGAGTTTCTTTGTATTGGGAAGGGAAATATAGGTCAAAACGGCAGATTGTCTCCAAAATTTTATTTTTAATTTTCCTGTATCAAGTGATCAATGAACCTAACCCCCTCTCCTTCTCTGTCTCTCTCAATAGACATGCTTTTGCTGATTAAACTTTTTGTTATGTCAAATCTGCTAGCTCGCATAGGCTAGCTTTGTGTGTCTTCCATGTACTGAGAATCTGAATTAATGAATATTGTTGGTTTATATTGCATTCAGGTTCTCTCTGTTGTTGGAATTCTTCAAGATGAGGTTGATCCTATGGTCTCTGTAATGAAGGTTGAAAAGGCTCCTCTGGAATCATATGCTGACATAGGTGGGTTGGATGCCCAGATCCAGGAAATTAAAGAAGCAGTAGAGCTTCCTCTTACACATCCTGAATTATATGAAGATATTGGGATCAAACCTCCTAAAGGAGTTATACTCTATGGCGAGCCTGGAACTGGGAAAACATTGCTTGCCAAGGTGCATGTCTTTCTCTATTTCTCTGTGGGCTAGGGTGGATACATGTTTTTTTTATTCCTTTCGTTGTTCTCAGTCATCAACACACACTGGTTTGCAGTTAGTTTGATTTATATTTTCCATTTCAGATTTGCATTCCTGTGAATTTTGTGTCTTTCTTTGGTCGTCAGAATTTTTTAAATAGGCTTCTTGCTGTCAAGAGCAGGCCATTGCCTTCCATTGTTCGATCGTGTTGCTTTGCTTTATTGTGCGGAATATACTGAATTTAAAAAATGAAGAAGATTAAATTGGTTACATGTATGTTTGATGCTTTGATGCGTGATTAAAAAACATGAGCACTCTTTATATAGGTTGTAACTTTTTGCACCATTAGGAAGATCTGAATTTAATGTTCAATAAGCCTGACTGATGAGTTGTCTGTGCCTTCGCATACCACTTGACAAGTATAGCTCTCTGATATTTTATTGGCTTCTGGTCAGATAACCAAGAATAATTGACTTGATTTTTATTTGAAAGATTTTTTGGCCTTGATCAAGGGTTTGAGGTACAGAAAGCCATTAAATCATCTGCAAAGGATGACTGTTGGTGTCTAGCTGGTTCAGCATTTTTAAAGTTATTCATTTGCTAGGTTACATGGTAGATGTGAGTTAGATAACTGAAGCATGCTTATTAGCATATTTTGTCAGTTGTGTGAAATCAGTTTAGCTTTCACAGTTAAAATATTAAATGTTATACCCAATAATTATTTTTCATATTTCTTGCTTCAGGCAGTTGCAAATTCAACATCAGCTACTTTCTTGCGTGTGGTTGGAAGTGAATTGATACAGAAGTACTTGGGAGATGGCCCAAAATTGGTCAGAGAACTCTTCAGAGTTGCGGATGAGCTTTCACCATCAATTGTCTTCATTGATGAAATTGATGCAGTTGGCACAAAGAGGTGATTTTCTTAGCATAACTGTCCGTGGAACATAATGTTGGCATATTGTTACAAACAGCCACTGATAGTGCACCTTTTCTGATATAACTTTATTTTCTAGGTATGATGCACATTCAGGTGGTGAACGTGAAATTCAAAGAACTATGTTGGAGCTACTCAATCAGTTAGATGGTTTTGATTCAAGAGGTGATGTTAAGGTAATCCTTGCAACAAATAGGATTGAAAGTCTTGATCCTGCTTTGCTACGTCCTGGACGAATAGACAGAAAGATTGAGTTTCCTCTTCCTGACATTAAAACTAGGAGACGCATTTTTCAGGTACTTGAAAGAAATTATTTACAAGAAATGTATAGTTATTATATCTGTGTCTCTTATTTTAATAATTTCATTTCTTTCTTTATTTGTCTTTGTTACAGATACATACATCAAGGATGACCTTGGCTGATGATGTTAATCTAGAAGAGTTTGTAATGACCAAGGATGAGTTTTCTGGGGCAGATATCAAAGCAATTTGTACAGAAGCTGGCCTGCTTGCTTTAAGAGAGCGTCGGATGAAGGTGACAAATTCTTACTTAAAAATATTTCGAATGTGCCATTGTCCTATATACTTACCCTGGCTTTAAATTTTTTGCATTTCTGTAGATATGCATTTTGTCTCCTGGTTTACTCTCATCTAAACTATACTGTAGTTTTTACCCTGTTCTGTTCTGCTCTGTCTGTGGTGTCTGCTTTATGGCTGTAAAGCACTTAGGGTCTGAGTTTGCCCCTTATGAATATTTTTATTTTGAGGAAAATGCTCTAGATCAGATGGAACATTCAAATAGAATGGACAAGCTCCTTTTGAATATTGTTATTTCCTTTTGTCTCAATCAAAGAAATTGAAAATTTCCAGTATTCTTTTCTTCTCTCGTCTCTTTCCCCTCCGTTAATATTCTCTCCTCTTTTCCTTTAGTCTAATACTTTGAACATTGTTTTTCAGGTGACCCATGCAGATTTTAAGAAAGCAAAGGAAAAAGTGATGTTCAAAAAGAAGGAAGGTGTACCGGAAGGACTCTATATGTAAAAGCTGACAATGGTTTCAGTCTGGAAAATGCTCCATGTCATTTGTATCAACTTTCTGAGCTTGAATTACTTGAAGCCATGGGGCTTAGAACCCTTCATAAAGGAAAGTGATCATTTTGGATAATTTTAATCTTTTTCAAGATACTTGGTTTGACACAAGTTATGCTGGTCATGCAAGATTATGTTGACAGTGAATTTGGGATGTTAATCTTTGGAAATGCCAGTGATTCTCATGGCTTCTTTTATAGCTACTCTCAGCTAACTTACAGTGCTTTCGCAAGATATCTCAAGAATAGTGTGCTTAACCATTTAAAAAAAATAATGATTCTATTATGGCAATGACTCGAAGGGTACGTAACATAAGCCATGTACTTCTTTATTGAGATTACTCCTTTTTGCTGATATGGTAATCCTTTGAATATTTCCTTAAAGAAGGAAAAAATCTTTTGAATGAAATTTCCCTTTTCTGGGTGGATGAAATTGCCCAAATATAACTGTTGACATTATCACAGAATTATGATGTTAACCATATCTGTTAAAGTTGGGTTAATTTCATTCAATCAAAAAGGGATGTGATTTCATTTAACCTAAAAAGTTAAATATACCCGTTTTCGCCTGTTTTGCATTATGGGATCTCTAAGAGGTCCGCTGGTTGACTGCGGAAAAAAAAACTTCACCGCATTGGAGTAGTTTCTATTTTGCAATTTGAGTGCTCTAAACTATAGAATTAAAGATCGTGAATGATTTTGAATTTTAAATTTTAAATTATATAAAAAAAAATAATTATAACTTATTTTTTAATTTTATCTTTTTTATATGTTATGTAATTCAAATTAAAATCTATTAAACAGTTAATTTATTTAATTATTTAAATTATATTTTGATATAATTTAAATTTTATAATATTTAATTTTTTAAAAATTATATATAATATTACAGTCAGCCAAAACTTTTTTCTTTTTTTTTTTCCGAAGATATTGAAAGGACCAATAATGGTCGGGTGCATTTTCCCCGAGTGCCATACAGGTAAAGTCCAAAACACTGGTGGTCGTGGTGCTGCTGGTGGGATCACCTTAGGTTTGGAAGTTGAACAAATTATTTGGCTTCCAGTGATACAATCATTGATTAACAGCTGAGACGTACTACTAACAAACACTAAGAAAAACGACCGGAGTCAGTGGACCACCGGTCGCATTCGCTTCAGTGCTTAGATTTCCTTTCCCCTCCTCCCATCTTCAATTCAAACTCTTCTGCACTGGTAGCCGTTGAATGGTGCTCTCCTACTCCTACTTACTTTTCACCAAACCTTTGAAGGTTAGCTGCCGCCATGCGCATTCTTTCCTTACTCCACCACCACCGCCGCCTCCGCCGCCTCCGCCGCCGGCACATTCACCATCTTCACAACTATGCTAGACCTCTCACCACCTTCACCGTCCCACTCTCTCACCCAGCTTACATTATATGGGGCTCCAACACCTCCCTCGGCAAAACCCTCCTCTCTACCGGTCTCGCTTCTTCTTTCCTCCTTTCCTCTCAACCCAATGCAAAATTCATCTACCTCAAACCTCTCCAAACTGGATTCCCCTTGGATTCTGACTCCCGTTATCTCTTCAATAAGCTCTCTGTTATCTCCGCCCGCCGTGGCCTTCCGCTCCTATCTTCGCATTCTGTCCTCCTCTCCTCCCTCCCCGCTGCTAAATCCTTCCTTCCCCACAAATTCACTTCAAATGAATCATTGGGTATGTGCGAATTGAAGTTTCGCGAGGAGGATAAAGTATTGGATGGGGTTGCTTCCGAGCTTGTCTGCGAGACGCTGTACGCATGGGAGGGTGCAGTGTCTCCACATTTGGCGGTGGAAAGAGAGGGTGGCTTTGTGGAGGATTCTGAAGTGGTTGGGATGGTAGAGAGACGTTTGAGGGAGAAGATGGAATGTTTTGAGACGGGAAAGGTGGAAGCTTTATGCGTGATCGAGACTGCAGGAGGAATTGCAAGTCCTGGGCCCTCAGGAACACTTCAGTGTGATCTTTACCGGTATGTTTTTTCCCATCTTTAATTTTCAGTGCCATAATATGAAGTTATGATTATGTGCGAAAATTGTGATCTATGCTGGTGACGAAGCATATTCAATTTGAAACATCTTGATTTTGCTTTTCCTCCGGTTCATCTTTTGTTGCATGTGTTAGCAGGCCTTTACGCTTACCTGGCATTCTTGTTGGGGATGGGCGGCTTGGTGGTATTTCTGGAACTATTTCTGCTTATGAGAGTTTGAAAGTTCGAGGTTATGATGTTGCTGCTGTTGTTTTTGAAGATCATGGCCTTGCCAATGAGGTTCCACTCATGTCATATTTGCGAAATAGGTAATTTTGTTGGTTTTAGGTTGATCTGCAGGACAAGTGGAGCCAATCTCAGTCTCAGCCATGATTTTAATAAGATGGGGTGTCACCTTTTTCCCCTTTTTTTTTAAAAAAAATTTCCCACAGGGTGCCAGTGCTCGTGCTGCCGCCAATTCCACAAGATCCATCAAACGATCTGACAGAATGGTTTGATGAGTGCTGCCCTGTATTTAATTATTTGAAGGATATAATGCTCCAAACTTATTCTGAAAGAATACAAAGATTGAATGAGATGCCAAGGAAGGCAGGACATGTTTTCTGGTGGCCATTTACTCAACACACACTTGTCCCAGAAGGCACAGTTACAGTAATTGATTCCCGTTCTGGTGAAAACTTTGCAGTCTATAAGGTTTGTGCATTTTCCATTATGATACTTTCTCTTCCTGTGTAATTCTGCAAAAAGATAGAATTTGCGTTAGTTTTTATAGAACTAGTTTGATACTTTAACTATCCTCTTAGTTTTGAAATTTCAATGTAGGCTGATTTTGAACGTTATTTTGCTATTTATAACGGGCTCAGGATAATGGATTCATAACTCAACAATTTGATGCATGTGCAAGTTGGTGGACTCAAGGACCAGATGCTACTTTCCAGGTTATCTTTATGCAACCATCTTCTTGCATTTCTCTCAAAGTCTGTATATTACTGATTGATGGCTAGATCTGAAGGCTTTTTTGGATTTTGCAATTTTAGCCTAATATTTAGTGAGACTCTTTATTGTATGTTGCTTTGTATTCTTTCTTTCTACAAAAATTATTAGTTAGCAATGCACAGTACTTTTCTGAAACCAAGGAAGATAGAACAATTTGACAACACAGTAGTAAGGCCCTGAGTATTCTTTACTTTTCTGTAGTTACTTCACATTTATGGTGCTAGGGTCCTCTAAGTTCTATATGCCCATTACTTTCAAGCTCCATCATTAATCAATCTTGAGTGCTTGATGACTAAGGAGCACGTGGAGAAGTACTATAATTAGTTATGTGATTAGAAGAAACAAATTATCAAGGAAGTATGCACCAATTTCCACTTTATTAGATGTATATGTCAAATAGTAGGGAAATTTCCCATTTTGTGCATTGATTTTGCCTTCCTTCCCTTAAATCTTCACCACTGGCATGAAATGCAATTGCTTTATCTACCTTCTAGCAGTAACTGTCTGAAGTTTCCTTTAATGCGGTATTTTTTTAGGTGGTTTCAGACTGAGCTTGCAAGAGACATGGGTTATGCTGCTGCTAGATTTGGGCATGTGATGTTCCCTGAGAATGTCTACGAACCTGCTTTGGAATGTGCAGAGCTTTTACTTGAAGGAGTGGGGGAAGGTTTGTGGCCATTGTTCTTCCTTGTAGCTTTAGTGCTGTGTTCTATTAGTCCTATAATCCAATACGAAGAAATATTGTGGCCCTTCCAAGGATAAGATCAATTCCTTTCCACAACTAAGTAAAAGATAATGAAGGAAACATGAAAAGAAATGACAGTTGCAATCTTCCTCTTCTTCTGCTTTTTTTTTTTTTTTAAAGCATCTGTTACTCTTGCTTGTCTGCTCAGGCTACATTGTTCTCCCCTGATTAGAGTTACTGTGAAATAGCATAAAAATAAAGAAAAGCTGTTGAAGTTTGAAATTCCAAATTATCCTGTTCTTGCTTTTTTCTTTAATCATTTCCAGGTCTAGTCCAATGAAAACAATGAAGCATTGTGAATCATATCTCTCAAATACTATAATTTGGTTGACATGAACTTAAGGGGTTGTAATTTTACTATGTAGGTTGGGCTTCTCGTGTGTTCTTTTCTGATAGTGGTTCTACAGCAACTGAAATTGCTCTCAAGATGGCATTTCGTAAATATTCTTCTGATCATGGAATCCTTTTAGATTTAATCAGGGGTAACACAAATGAAAGATGTATCAAGCTAAAGGTGTGCCTCTTCTGTTTTTCATATTGTTTTATGATTTAATTCTTCCATGTTTCCTAGTAGCCAATGGGAGAAACTTTTGTCAGATGTGGAGTTAAAAAGATCTTTTTTACTGTCATCTTTCCCTGTCCCAGGTTATTTTGGCTGCTTTACAAATCCAGTGCTGACATTTTATTGTATCGTATTTGAAATCTTTCAGAAGCATGTATTAAAAAAATGTCCAATGTCTTTATAAGGATGTGCTTATAATACTAACACCAGAGGTGTCATTGTGCACAAATCAACTCTGTTAAAATATGGTGGATGTTATGTTTATTATTGAAGTTGAACTTTTAGGCATATTTTTGCAAATGATATTAAAACTTTCGTTATCAGGACCTAAAAAAATTATAGGGCACTTTTGAACAGGCACTGTTCATTGTTCACAAGTGCTTCGCCTTGCCTGGTAGTTCAAGATGTTTGGCATAAGCTACTTGCTACAAATTATATACATTTAATGTTCTTATCAAAATGATTTTTAACAATTCTCTTATGTTTTTTACCAGATGGTAACTGAAACTGGTAACTGGCATTCCTTTTCCAGGTCCTAGCTCTTAAAGGATCTTATCATGGTGATACATTGGGTGCTATGGAGGCACAAGCGCCATCACCTTATACAGGTTTTCTACAGCAGCCATGGTATGAATGTTTGAGAAATGTTCTGTTATATTGAAGGATAGTTTAGAAAGTTCCATATTTATTTATTTCATGATAAAAATGCTTCTCTGGCGTCTACACTCCACTTTACTTGAGCCTTTTATATTGCAGACTAAAAGTTACTTCACATTCATGAGTAGCAGTAGCACCCTTTTAAATTAGTGGTTTTATTTTACTATCTTAGTTAAGTTGCTTCAGCTGACTAGGCAATAGATGGGCATATACAGATCTGGAAAAAATTTAGTTTTGGAGAAATGGGAATGAGGGCTTTGATTGTTGAGTAAGAATTGTAAAGGATGAGATCTGTGGGCAATTCAACTGCTGATATTTAATTTCTATAATGTCAAATACATAATAATTAATTTTTATGGTTGAGACATGTCACAGGTATACTGGTAGAGGCCTTTTTCTGGATCCTCCAACAGTATTCATGTGCAATGGTGAATGGAATCTTTCATTGCCTGAGGCCTTCCATTCAGAAGCTTTGAAATTGGATGATTTGAGTGAGTGAAGTTGCCTCCCATCACCTTCCAAACTCAAAAAATAGAAGTAATAATCAACTGACATTTTTCATTGCAGCCTTTAGGTCACGCGATGAAATTTTTGTCAGGAACAGGGACACGTCAAATCTTGCTGCCATGTATTCATCATATATATCACATCAAATATCCCGAAGTTCTGACCAAATTGGAGCCTTGATTATGGAACCAGGCAAGAGAATGAATTTTGGCATTTTGTTAAAGTTTTAGATTGTCTCTAAAATCATTGAAAACCTGATTATATTGTTACCTACTATATTTTATTTATCCTTTTCGCTGGTTGGACATGTTCTGCAGTTATACATGGTGCTGGAGGAATGCACATGGTTGATCCACTTTTCCAGAGAGTACTTGTTAATGAGTGCCGACATCAAAAGATTCCAGTTATTTTTGATGAGGTTTTTACTGGTTTCTGGCGCTTGGGTGTAGAGGTTGGTTGCCCTTATTCAATCTCCTTTTCTTTCCTCTCTCTGTCTCTCTCTAGAAATTGGCAAGTTTTCCTTAATCTCTTATTGTTTGTTCATTTTCCAATTGTTCCTTTCCTTCAGTGTTTGTGAAAAAATAAACTGGAATATCTTTGTTGGAAGTTTTATATATTCTTCTTTCCGGACAGACTGCATCAGAGCTACTTGGTGTACTGCCAGATATAGCCTGCTTTGGGAAGCTGATGACTGGTGGGTTGATACCATTAGCTGCTACACTGGCAACTGAGGCTGTTTTTGATTCATTTGCTGGAGACTCGAAGGTTAGTATTTGCTGCTTGGTATATTTGCATGAAGGAAGCAAACTTTTGCTGTAGGTCTGAGGATAATTTTAACTTGCTCTGTTTTCTTCTTGCATTCATGTCCCAAGGAGTTGAACTTGGAACTGTTCTGTTTTAGTAGTAGAAATTTTATCATTGGAGTTCATGGTACCATGAACTTGATTCAGAGGCTTAAAAGTTTCTAGAAGTTGTTTATAAAATTGTTCAATATTTGTTTGCTTTCTTCAACATAAATTGCATTATTAGGATTAAAGGTCTCTTAAGATAATTGATTGACACATGTTGTGCTTTCTGCTTATGTTCCTAGCCCTTTTTGAATCAGCCCGCAAAACTCTGCTGTTAGATTTGCAACTGAACCCTATTGTAAAGATATGCAACTGAAACACTGTTTTAGAAGCCAATCTTTTGATTATTTGTCAGAAGTCTTTCAAATTATCAACAGTTTTCAACAGATTCAGGTTCTTTTGGGGGTTGAGATTCTTGAGACACATAATTAACTTCATGTTACAAATTGTTTGCAGATATTTCTTTATCAAACAACATTCTTTGTGAAATGCTACAGTACTGTCAGAACATTTCTCGTCAATAAACAAATTCTAGTGTGATTGATCCGTGGATCATGCATCTACAATAAACTAATCACTTACATCTATATGGTTTTATTTTCAGCTTAATGCCCTTCTACATGGACACTCATATTCTGCCCATGCCATGGGTTGCTCAGCAGCTGCCAAGTCCATTAAATGGTTTAAAGATCCAGAGACAAACCTTAACATCAGCTTTGAAGAATCTGGGAAAATGCTGCTTAAGGAGGTATATGAAATTAATGTTGGGTTGCTACCTTTCTGTTTTTCTTTTTGGTATATCAGAAGAAGTTAGCTGATTAGCAATTACAAAGGTTAGAACACCAAACCTTGGGGTACCTTGACACCAAATCGAGGTTTATGGTTAGTAGATACCAACTCTATTAAACTCCTTTTGGTTTTGCAACCATTTTGGGAATCATATGGAGGTTGGTATCTATTTTTAACATATAAATTGATCTAATATACTACTAACACCTGTATTAACATTCTTGCAGTTGTGGGATGAAGAACTGGTGCAAGAGATCTCGTCACTCCCTTCTGTTCATAGAGTGGTAGTACTAGGAACTCTCTTTGCCCTAGAACTACAAGTAGATGGTGCTAATGCTGGGTATTTTTTCCACAACTCCTTTTATACTCTCTCCTATATGTTTGTGTTGTTATGTTTTGGATGCAATTCTTTAACTCTGACAACTTAATTGACCTAAAAGTTTCAAGTAATTATTGCTTGTGCCATGCATACTGATAGGACTTTGGTCTATACTTGTGTTTCCTAATTACATTAATTCCCAATAGTCAGCAGTTGCTCAAGTGTTTCCTAGCTCATAGTTAGAGAATCATTCTAAAGTTGGACCAATGTTTTTATAGGTATGCATCACTATGCGCAAGGTCTCTGCTTCAGGCGCTGCGCGAAGATGGCATTTACATGAGACCCTTGGGAAATGTCATATATCTCATGTGTGGACCGTGTACATCTCCTGAGAGCTGCCGCCAATTACTCATCAAACTCTATGGGAGGCTTGCAGAGTTCAGCCAAGTCAAAGAAATATCAGAATCCTGCCAGTTATGAATATCAGTAGATGGGTATTAGCCAACATCTTTTTTTCATGTATTTTCTTCATAGTTTTGTAGTATCAACCTTCCATGTGGGTGTCCCATTTGTAGCAGATATTGTGTTTTGAATTTTGATAATTGAAGTGTCATTTTCACCTTGATGGGTACATAATTTGCCTGTTTTAACTCACCTACATCCACCTTAGCACTTTTTGCCTGTTTTAACTCAACTACATCCACCTA